AGATTAATTCTACAAATAACAATAAAAAGCAAAATCTTGTAATAAATGACTATTTATTTATACTCCTAATCTATAATATTATTAACGACACAATTTATGGATTTAGCATTGAACCACAAGCAAACAGACGGATTAGGGTGGGGTAGACTTTAAAAATTGTGCCTATTTATTTTGTATATTAGTATTGTACTATGTACAAACGGCTACACATCGAGCTTTTCATAACCAGTATAAACTGAACGTTAAATGTGCGGAAAGATGATGCGACGCGACACCAGGATAAACTGGTTTTGTATAGATTGATGTGTGGCCCTGTGTACCTATTCCTATTTTCACTACCATTCTATGTTCTTTTCAGATAGGCCAGTCAACGTGTAGACGGATCATGGACATACAATTCACCAGGGGATTTACAAATGAGTTTTTTAACATCATCGACGTATTTGAACAAATGCATACATTTTACGCTCAAGTCACTAAACTATCGTAAATAAAGACTTCAATACAAATCAAACCCTAAGTACCTACCAAGAAAACATCTTTCTCCATAATATTCTACTTTCAGTTAAATAAAACCTTCGTCCCAGGTAATATTTTCTTTAATATCTCTAGTTTTATTGTTCCACAGTCGGGTCGGAGTTTAAAGCTCCTGTCGATATTGTTTGAACATTGTTTTACTCGACTAATATCACATTGTTGGCAGGCGTTATCTGTTTAAGCAAATTAGAACCTTATATACTAAATGTACAATTCAAATTTGAGTTAAGGAAAAGTTGGTGGTGGTGGAATAATAAACGGTATAGTCTATTGATGCTCGTAGATAGTTGAACTATCTTGAAATAAAATTTATCGAATTCGAAAACAAATAACAATCGAAATTGGTTATGTATATTTTCCGCCCGCAATTTTTGCCTGCCTCGTTGGCAAGCGCTGCCAGGTAAGGGGTCTCGGGTTCGATTCCCGGGTCGGAAGGAATACTGTTTTTTTTTAATTCTCAGTAATAACACGGAATCTGAAACGTCCGGTATATGGCAATTGGCTCACTCCCTATAACATGGGACTCATAGCAATAATAGTAAAAAGTGGGTGTTACATTGTGCAGTCGCATTAAGTGCCGTCATGTGCACCTCTACCTATCCCTTCGAGGATAAAAGGCGTGATGTTATGTTATGTAATTTGGCCCATCTTCTGAAACGAAAAGAAGTAGCTTAGGATCACACACGCCGAGTCTCTCAAACATCCACAGATGTAAAAGTGCTCTGTAGCTACGAGAACATTTTTTTTTTTATTTATAAGATGTTGAATAGATTCTTTCTTCAACTTAAAATAAATTAAGATCTTGTTAGTAAAAGACTATAAGTAGTTTACTTTACTTTGTTTAATATTAACTTCTTGTCTACATTTTTATTTTCATAACTTTTGTTACAGTAACTGTTGTTCTTGGAATTTTATTCTATTTATAAGTGAACAAAGTAAAAATGTGATATAAGTTTTAATTAATACTGAACAAAGGGCTAGTTCTGAGAAATTATACCACGATAGGTCTATTTCTGACAACTGAAAAAAAAAGTATTTTTCCATAGTTTTTTATAACATCAATATTCTAGCTACATTTTTTTTCTTTGATCACGTGGGAGGAGCCGCGGGCACCGGTTCATAGTTGTTGCTTTATAAAAATACTTCAAGAGCCAACCAAGTAAGGTAATTAGGTAATTCTATTATAAAAATCTGTATAAGCTAAAGTCGTGCTAAATATACATTTTAATTTTTTAACTTACATATAGAATAACTCTGTTGACTGTATTTAGGAAAAATGCTGTACAAATGAATGTATTTACATGCATACAAGTCAAGAAAACAAGGGTTCAACACATTTCTCGTAGACAGCTTAGGCTTTGTAATTGAAATCGTTGACGCGCTTTGTGTAAGAATCCTTAAAAGTACTAGTATCGAATTGTTAAAGTACAATGCACATACGCTTGTAGACTTGAATTCTTCTTACTTTATTGCTTGATGCCATGTAAGCCGAGTATCTGAAAAATTATAAACAGTTCATCTGGGACTGGACTTTAAAAGAGACGGACTTCTGAGTTTGTTTCGGTATTTCTTTTCAGAGTAGTCAGTTAGGAAATGTCGGCGTCATCGTTCGCTTTATAAAGTGCTGCCTTGTAGCCTAGTGCCTTGCAGAAATAAATTCACTTCTTTCACTTGTTTCATTTGTTTCACTTATTTCACATTTTTCATATCAATCTCGTTTCCAACTAAATAAACAAAGCATCAACCCCTCATTCTTTACCCACAAAAATAAAACATAAATATCTACGAAGCTAATATCCTTAATATTCTCCCCGATCTCAAGAAAAACAAGGCGAAAAGAGACAAAAATTCGATATTAATAAAAACATTGGACCCTCGGCCCACTGAGTTGTTCTGCACAGCTGCCAAAGATAGATAAGCGACCCCTTCTTTTAAGTTCCTTGTCTTAAATTGATTTTCGGCGGACAAAGCCTATAAAATATTTAACAGCGGCCATAGTGACAAAATCTGTTGATAAGTTTGTGTGTTCAGATTATTTTAAAGTCGACGATTTGGTTTGTTTTTGATCAAGGCTTCGGTTTTGGTTTAAGTTATGTTTTTGTTGAAAGGATAAGAGTAAGACAAGAGACTATAGAACTTGCCACACATGGACATAGGTTCCTAAAGACTTGTTACTACTCTGAGAGCTATTCAGGAAATTACACACTATGTGGAGTGTATAGCACACAGCGTTAAGAAGTGTCTAAGTAGTAATAGCTAACTTATTTTATAGATAGAAAGTAATGTGAATTCGAAATATTAATAGTGTTCAAAATGTGCAGTTGTTAGTGTGAGCGATTCCATATCAAACCTAAAAATCGTATTCAATTATGCAATTAAATATCGACTAATAATTAACTCTCTAACACAACATTAACATAACATTATGCCTTTTATCCTCGAAGGGGTATGCAGAGGTGCACATTATGCCACTGTAGAATGTAACACCCACTTTTCACTATTTTGTTATGAGTCCCATGTAATAGGGGGTGAGCCTATTGCCATATACCGGGCACAATTCCAGACTCCGTGGTACTACTGAGATTTTATTAAAAACCCAGTACCACTTTCCCCGACCCGGGAATTAAACCCGAAACCCCTTGCTCAGCAGTCGCACTTGCGACCACTCGGCCAACGAGGCAGTCGACACTCTCTAACAATTTGTCAGAAATAGCTAAAGCATTTCGTGTACCTGTAAATCATATTCTATCTAAATAAGTACAATTCCTTTACCTATTTAAGGCTGTCTGTCATCATTACGTCAAAAGGAATTCTTCTTTCTTTTTACATCCTAGAACTGAATTGTGAACGTCTCGGAACTCATATCATGCTCAGTTAATATCTTACATGACGAGCACTTTCAACCATTATAATAATAATAATAATAATAATCTGGCAACACTACAAACGTCAACTTGTGAAAATTTTACTCTGCTTTTATATAAATAATTTATACATATTCCTTTC